ATTTTCCAGCTCTCACATGCATATGAGGCAGTTGAAAATACCATGGCTTGGATTAGATGCACCTTAGTCTTCAAGGAGACATCTTTCTCTTCAGCACTTGAAACAGGTCTTTAGATTTGCCTAGTGCCAATACGTTGTCTGATGTCTTGACTGCTGCTTCAATTGGTGTTGATTATGAAGCCAAGTAATATGAAATCTTTAACAATTTCAATGTTTCCTCCATTTATTGTGATGCTGCTTATTGGTCCAGTTGTGAGGATTTTCGTTTTCTTTATGTTGAGATGAAATCAATACTGCAGACTGAAGTCTTTAATCTTCATCAGTAAGTGCTTCAACTCATCCTAACTTTCAGCAACCAAAGTTGTGTCATCTGCATATTGCAGGTTGTCAATGAGTCTTCCTCCAATCCTGATGCCATGTTCTTCTTCATACAGGCCAGTTTCTCAGATTATTTGTTCAGCATACAGACTGAATAAGTACGGTAAAAGGATACAACCCTGATTCAGTCCCTTCCTGATTTTAAACTATGTAGTATCCCCTTGTTCTGTTTGAACAACAGCCTTCTGGTCTATGTACAGGTTTCTCATGACCATAATCAAGTGTTCTGAAATTCCCATTCTTCTCAATGTTATCCGTAGTTTGTTATGATCCACATAATCAAATGCTTTTTTCCATAGTCAATAAAACACAAGGAAATATCTTTCTGGTATTCTTTGCTTTCAGCCAAGATCCATCTGAAATCAGCAATGATATCCCTCATTCCACACCCTCTTCTGAATCCAGCTTGCATTCCTTAAAGTTCTCTAATACATTGTTACAACTGTTTTTAAAGTATCTTCAGCAAGATTGTACTTGCATGTGATATTAATGATATTATTCAATAATTTCCACATTCTGTGGGATCACCTTTCTTTGGAATGGGTACAAATACACATCTTTTCCAGTCAGTTGGCGAGGTAGCTGTCTTCCAATTTCTTAGCATAGATGAGTGAGTGCCTTCAGCACAGCACCCATTTGTTGAAACATCTCAGTGGGTATTCCATCAATTTCTGGGGTCTTGTTTTCTGCCAATTCCTTCAGTGCAGCTTCAACTTCTTCCTTCAATACTGTTCTGGTTACCTAGTGCCACTCTGACATAAATATATACCACAAATGGAATGGCCTTAACAAGCAGGAGTTTATTCTTACAATTTGGAGGCTTTAAGTCTAAGTTCAAAGTGCCAGGCTCTAGGGGCTGGGTGAAAGCCCCTCAACCTTGGAGTCCAGCTCTGCCTCCTGCTCCTGGCCCACTGGAGGTAGAAGCTTTTCTTCACTCAGACAGCTGCTGGCTACTGAGGCTGAGAATCACCAAGGTTGACAAGTAAAAGGGCACAGTCCCAATGTTACTAAACCACATGGCAGGCCATTAACTTAACTTCATTGTAAGTCCCAAGGTCACCAGAGCATAGCAGGCTGCTGAGCAATGACACAGCTACATGCAGGGTCCAAGTGTGCCATAGGCTAGAGACCATTCCCAAAGGCTTCTCCTTATATACAGGAAGCAGACCACATACCCAAAGGCAGCCACTCAGCTGCTCGTAGTAGATTCCACCATGGAGTTGATTACCAGTCTCATCACAGGGAATACTACATCCAGCTGCCCAGCCACTCAACCAGGCCTAGCCAAGTTGACACAGAAACATAACCACCACAAATACCATTGGCTCTTGATCATATACCACCTCCTGAAATGGATGAACATTGACTGATTCTTTTTGGTTACAATGACTCTGTGTATTCTTTCCATCTTCTTTTGATGTTTCCTGCATCAGTCAATATTTTGCCCATAGAATCTACCAATATTGCAATTTGAGGCTTGAATTTTTTCTTCAGTTCTTTTGGCTTGAGAAATGCTGAGTGTGTTCTTCCCTTTAGGTTTTCTAACTCCAGGTCTTTGCACATTCATTTCATTATAATAATTGGGTTTGTCTTCTGGAGCTGTTCTTTGAAATCTTCTGTTCAGCTCTTTTACCTTGTCATTTCTTCCATTTGCTTTAGCTACACTTTGGTCCAGGGCAAGTTTCAGAGTCTCTTCTGATATCATTTTGGTCTTTTCCTCCTTTCCTGTCTTTTGAATGACCTTCTGCTTTCTTCATGGATGATGTTCTTGATGTTATCCCACAATTCCTCTGGTTTTTGGTCATTGGTGTTCAATGTATCAAATCTATTCTTTAGATGGTCCTAAATTCAGGAAGGGTATAATCAAGGTCATATTTTGGGTCTCGTGGCCTTGCTTTAATTGTCTTCAGCTTCAACTTGAACTTGAGTATGAGCAGTTGAAGATCTGTTCCACAGTCAGCTCCTGGTCTTGTTTTGACTGAAGATATTGAGCTTCTTCATCACCTCTTTTCACATATGTAGTTGATCGGAATCCTGTGTACTCCATCTGGTGAAGTCCACATGTATAGCTGTAGTTTGTGTTATTGAAA